GCCTATGAAGAGGAGCGCGGAAGGGCTATTAAGATGACTTTAGAACGTAATCCGACGGCATTTCATCCAAAAATCGGTCGTGGAGAAGGTGAAAGGAAGCACACTAAAGGTTGTAATTGCAAGCGTTCAGGATGTTTGAAAAACTATTGTGAGTGCTATGAAGCGAAGATAAGCTGCTCTGATCTATGTCGTTGTCAAGGCTGCCGCAATACAGAGGATAGCGTAGAAAGGCGCTCACTCATGCGCTTGGCTGCAATGGGAGCTTTAAGATCAAGGCAACCATCTTCTTTCAAAAAACATTTGATGAAACCCCCCTCCGAAACGTAAGTCTCATTAATACGTAACATTTTAAAAATAACAAGTAGTAACTTTACTAAACATGAATATTTCATATACACCTAAGGTAGTTGTGATCAATGTTGCTAGTTTTTATTATAATAAAAACATAATTCTAGAGTGGAAACAGAAGATGCGTAGTATTCATGCACATTATCGTAGTGATGGAATAGCTTTTTATGGCCCTAAGCACCGTCATAGTGAACAGTATCATCAACTCAACCACTTGATCTAGAACAGGCTGCGTTCAGAATTCTTCAGAACATAAAAACATGGGGGCCGGTAATATCACAGTCTCATAAAATCCTCCATTTTATTCTATATATATTCCGCATATAGCACAATCGCATAAGAGTACAATAGCGCTATTATAATAACATGGCCATACAGTTAACAAGATGTCAGCATACGTGGTTGTATCCGCTGATTACTCCAAACTTAAAATTAGTTTTTGCTGTCAAATTCGAATACTATTTCCCTCATTGTTGTTAGTATCATTTTGGCTTATTTTCACGGCTAAATGTACTCAACTAAATTAGGACCGTCCAATAAATCGTTTCGTTGATTTTTAGATTATATGAATAATTAATTCATGCAAATCCACTCAGAGCAGTATGAAATAGTAAGAGATATGTTCAACTCAATCCTAGGGAATTTTCAACTTAGGTGGTTGAGATATGTGTTCAGTCAGTCAGCTACAACGTAGGACCAGACACACATATGCATCGGTCAAAGTTGTGTTACATATGACTAACTATCTTTTACCTCGATGGGCGATGTCTGATGTGATAGTGGGCTGAAAAAAAGCTAGGGTTGACTTCACCAAAACGTAGTATCAGTCCATAAAGCCATCCACAAATGGACCAAGCCATGCAAGTAGCTTTAGGCTACTTATTTAGCGTCTACGTGTTTATCGTAACCAGAAGTTGTGGGTACCTTTATTCACAGTCTATTCAATGAGGAAAACGGATTCACTCTTTGTCCTCTTGTAGAACCTGATTCCTGAACTCTCATCATGATTTTTATGTAAATATAATTTTTACTAATATTAATACTGTTAGTATTTCTACTACTCTATAGATAACACGAGACAGCTTTTCAGACTAATAAAATAAACTGAAATTAAGAAGTGTGTGACAATCTCGGAAAAACATGACACTTATCTGCTCTCAGCCCAGACGTTTAGAACGATAGGCGGAACAATTTAAGGAGTTCAACTGGCCTTCAACTACGCTACAACTACCCACTATTTCTCAACAACCTGAAGGGAGCATTGAAGTAGGCCCCCCAGCTTTAATTGGAGTTAAAACAGCTATCGCTAGTCTGAAACGAGGAAGAGCAGTTAGTCCAGATGGATTGGCTCCAGAGGTCTTTAATTATAGTGGTCCAGTTTTAGCTATTATGTTGGCTAATATTTTAGCTAAAATCTGGGAACTGGATGTAGTCTCACGTGACTGATCGCAATCACTGATCATCCCAATATATATAATGGGTCAAAATCAAACCGTGGTAACCATGATGGGATTAGTTTGACTAATGTAGTTTCTAAAACATAAGCTCCAATAATTATCGGACGCTTAACAAAAACTCGTGAACTGCAAACACGAGAAAATCAGGTCGGCTTCAGGCCTGGTCGTAGTTGCATCGACCATATATTCACCATTCGTCAGATTTTAGAACACAGGCATGCTTATCGACGTCCGATAATGATAGTTTTTCTTGACTTAAAAGTAGCATTTGACTCTGTAATCCGAAAGGTCCTGTTGCAATGTGTCATTGAAAGGTGTACATCAGAAGTACATAGACCTTGTGAGGGCTGTTTACTCGAACACCAGTCGATCCAGAGCTTGTAGCGAACTGTCATCTGATTTTGCAGCCTCAAGTGGTGTCCAGCAAGACTCCACTGTCTCCATTTTTGTTCAGTTTTATCATAGACCTACTGCTAGATATAACGCTGTCATCAACTGGATTCTCAGGCATAGATCTCCTTCCAGAAGGTCCACTTATTGACTTAGGATACGCAGATGACACAGTCCTGTTTGGTGAAGACTACAGTCTTTCGATAGCACTGAGCAACAATGCCAGAATGTTTGGAATGCGCTTTTCCCCCTCTAAATGCAAGTAGTTGCTTCAAGATTGGCTGGCGTCAACACCTGAACTAAGGATAGGGATTGAAGTACACTGTGCGGTAGCTCGTTCTGTTCTACTTTACGGATGCGAAACGTGCCCATTGAGAGAAGATATTCGTAATTTACTAGTATTTGATCACAGACGTCATGGAAATATTGCTGGCAGCTGCTGGGACCACTGGGTAAGGAATAGTGAGGTTAGACGCAGAGTTCTAGGGAATGATGGTAAATCAGCTGATGAGGGTGTGAATCTTCATCGGTTGAGATGGTTGGGCCACGCGTTGTGTATGCCTGAATACCGATTATCACGACGCACAATGCCGACTAGTGTTGGGGATTTTTGGAAGAAAGTTAGGAGTGGCCAAACGAAAACATGTCAATTATGAGATTAAACTCGCTTCATATCTTTCTACGTACTAATTCTTTCTTACTGTACTATACCGTTATACACAGTCTTTCTTTTATATATTACTACCATCGAAGTAACTGCTATGAATTTGATGTTCATCTTGTGCTAATGAGGTAAGGTAACTTGAACCGATGCCTGGTACTACGTTGTAGATGACTAAATCTAATACTCTGATTTGTCTTAACAATTTGATCTCGCTGTGTAAACTTGATGTGTTGTACATGACAGCAATTGAATCACACAGAACATTTAGAGATGTAACCTCTATAAAGACCAGTTATCAATCGTAATGCTAACAATTATCCATTATCTTCATAACTAACGTATCAAAGTAACAAAATATAACAACGTCCAGTTATCTGAAGTTGCTACAACTTTAAACAACTTAAAAAGACAAGTTAGTAACTAGAGGCATATCTCATTGCAAATATGTGACCGGCATTAGTTGAAGGTATCACTTTCGTCCCCAATTTCTCACGTTTACGCTAATACTGATAAGACAATGAGTCTCCACAAGCCTACCTTTGATGATGTGTTATATTTATTGTTAGTATACTAGTCTGGAAACTTGGCAGTGTTTCAAATGTTGCGATAGCTCTAAAGATCGGAATTACAAGTAGCGTTACTTTGTAATCTAATTTGAGTATCAGTACTAATCAAGCCTTAGGAATGAGTAATAAATTAAATGCACTCTGGTGTTTCAGTATCAAATTGAGTCCATGCGATGTAGTGGTCATAAAATAAGGGCAGAATACATCGAAAGTTTACAAGTTTTCGGTTGATATTTTACGTATGTTATGACTGTTAAGCATATGTATCATATTTGGTACCCGTGTCACGATCCAACTTATTTATTGCAGTAACATGTTTGTTATGTAGTTTTAGACAAATATCCCCTTTTGAAGACTAATACTATTCTAGTTTAAATAACTTGATTGTAATGTGATATAAAATTTGGATGTATTTTTGAGGTAAATAGCGCTGGCGACCATGTTGCTTGCTCGTTTTAAAAGGAGTAGATCATAAACAATCAATAGCAAACCTATGTATTTCCCCCAGTTTTTTTAAATAAATTATTTAGACTGGATAATGGCCTCAAATGTTTAAACAATTTGACCGACCAAACAAAGACAGCTGTTCCGCTGAGTTATAAACAATTTACATGATTATATTGTAGTAAAGTTTTAAGACCTTTTGTGTCTTATTTAGCCTACCGCATGTGTTCTTCACCTGGGAAGTAATCGAGGCAACTGCTAGTTGTTTGTTGGCGCAAGCTGATGAAGCAGAACGTCGTGACTTACCTCCAGCAGCACAAGAACGAATACTTCTGGAAGAATTTGGACGCACACTGGAACGCGTAATTGAGGCAGCAAGTAAGGTAAGAGTACGTTGTGTCGTGCTCACAGTTAGTGATAGTCACTGAATGACTATCAAGTTTTTTCTGACAGTTTTTATCCTGACCCATTGTATGACTTTTGGTTTCAGGCGCAAATACGATCGTCCAGTGCCATCCATACGTCTGCTTCAATTGATGACAATGATCAAGGGCTAATACATAGTGGTGGATCAACTGGTCCAGGTAGTCTAGGTGGAAAAGGCAGTGGAGTGGTTGGAGTGGCAGCAGCAGCTGCCGCGGCCGCAGATGTCCTACGGGACGATGAGGATGACGAGGATGAGATGATGCATGATATTGATGTAGAAGAGGAAGATGATCCTGACGAAATGGATGATGAAATGTATGGTATTGTTGGTGGGTCGACGATCTCACGTCATGGACACTCCCGCTCTCATCTAGGGCGCCGCCATATGCCAAGCAGTCACCGGTCTACACACCTGGTTCCTGAGCTAGATGATGACATAATGAGCGATGAAGATCCTGTCGAAAGAGCCCATGCTGTATCATCTAGTAATAGACAAGGAATAATGCCGCATAGATATCAGGAAATGCATTCGCGTCGAACATCGCAAACTGTTGAAGACCGATATATTCATTCACGTCGAAATATGAGCAGTCGCAGTTATCGTCATCATGACCCGGACTCGATGGTATAGTTGATGGTTTAACTTACTTTCTGTATGACATCGCCCATACATTTGTAAAGTAATCAAACATTTTGTATACACACCCTACACAGAATTATCATTCAATTAGTGTTTCCTCTTACAATTTATGAGTCAACTACTATGTTAAGCATCATGTATTTTTGAATCTGTATAATACATTATATTTTACACAAGCTCATTTTCGTTTTATTCGAGCATTAAGTTGGTGAACATGAGCTTACCAACGCGCACGTAGTTTTCACGCTCTTCTTTAGTCATTGTCTTCACCATTGCTGGAGTTACATCTGTATAAAGCATAAGCTGACCTCCAACAGTAACCTCGAACTTCTTTGGGTGAAGGTCAACAGACGTATTTTCTAGAAAATAAAGAGGAATTGGATATTTGAAAGTGGCTAGTTAAGCAGATAGTACTAGTAACATGTGGCTTAATTTTTCTGTCTATCAAACTCTGAGCTGGTTAACGAGAAAATTGTGGTTCCCATTCATAATAGGCAACTAATCATACACTTATGCGAAAATAGTATGCAGGTAAATGTAAACTAGCATCTGAGTGGCGGAGTATTGGTGCCCTACACTGAGTTCATACGAATCAACCACAATGTTTAGCAAATATTATCGACCCAACACCACATACTCAACATCAGCACGAATAATTTGAGAGCATACACAAGAAAGATGTAGACTTATAGTAGGAGAAAAGCGAATGTAGTCAGTCAGTAAAAACGTAGAACATCGTACGTACGTACATCAGTTCGAGTTGCCTTACCACATTAGCACAGAGAGGCAGTTGTCCATTCAAATCACGTAGTGGAAGAATTGGTAAGAGTATAAGCAGTAATCGGAAACATTAGGGTTCGAAGATGTTATTTGAAGAGTATAATACAGTGTAATAAATTTGGAAAGACGAAAAAGAGGATTCCGGAGATTAAAATTTAAGAGAATACAAAGAGTGTGTACATCTGCACCATTACAAACGATTTTGAGCCATGTCATTCAGGGTTTCACAGAAAGCTTTCCGACCTTCTTCGAAAAGCTAGGCGCTCGGATGTAGTAATAATGGCCGGTGACTTTAATGCTCAAGTAGGTAAACTAAGCGATAGGGAAAGACACCTAGGTGGATCTTATGGTGTCGTGGCTCAAAGAACAGATAATGGCGACCGTCTGTTGCAGCTATGTTCAGATAATCGCCTGTTCCTTGCAAATACTAACTTTAAGCATAAGGAAAAACATCTTTTAACATGGCGACCCCCGAATTCGTCCCAACGTTGGACCCAACTAGATCACATCGCTATCAGCCACCGATGGAGGGGCTCGATAGAAGACTGTCGCTCATTCTGGAGCACATGCTTAGATTCAGATCATGCTCTAGTACGAACGCGTATTTGCTTGCGTCTTACTGGACGTAGGAAAGACGCTGCAAGGAAACCTCTTAGAGGTCTACTTAATGATAGTCAAGCTAAGAGTATATTTCAGGAACAACTAGGAAAACAGTTAGGCAGCCATGTATGTGATGCCCACCCCGATGCAGCATGGAATGATATCCGAAAAGCTGTGGAAACAGCAGTGATATCTGCTAGTAAGGTAAACCAGAAGGTTAGGGAGCAACACTGGATCTCAGCAACATCTATCGCACTGATAGATGCTCGGAAACTCATTCCACCTGGCTCTGAACATAGTGAAGAGCGGAGTCAGCTTAAGCGCAAGCTGACAAGAAGTCTACGCAATGATCGCGAACAGTGGTGGGTAGCGAAAGCAAGAGAGATGGAGAAGGCAGCGGCAATAGGTAATAGCAGACAATTGTTCAGACTCGTTAAGGAAACCGGAATTAGGAACCCGACCGTTAGCGAAACAATCTCAGAGAAAGATGGACATATTATTCATTCCCAATCCAGGAGATTGGATCGATGGGCAGAACACTTCAGGGGTCAGTTCAACTGGCCTTCAGCCACACTTCGGTTTCCCACGATCTCTAGTCAACCTGAATGGCAAGTTAATGTAAGTCCTCCGTCCCTTTACGAAGTTGAAAAAGCCATAGGAAATCTGAAACGAGGGAGAGCAGCAGGCCCTGACAGGTTTACTCCTGAGATTTTTAAGGATGGTGGTCCAGTATTAGCAATGAGATTAACCGAGGTCTTAGGTAGAATTTGGGAACTGGACGTAATCCCATCTGACTGGTCTCAAACATTGATTATGCCAGTTTATAAGAAAGGACAAAAGTCCTCTTGTGACAATCACAGAGGAATCAGTTTGACAAATATAGTGTGTAAAATATTAGCTTCAATAATACTTCGATGCCTAATTAAAGCTCGTGAAGAGCAAACTAGAGTAAACCAGGCTGGTTTCCGACCTGGACTTGGTTGTATAGACCAAATATTCACACTACGTCAGGTTCTAGAACACAGACACACGTTTAGACGCCCCACAATGGTAGTATTTCTCGACCTTAAGGCGGCATTCGACTCTGTTGATCTTGAGGTTCTATGGCAGTGTTTGTCACTGAAAGGAGTACCAAAGAAGTACATTAACCTTATTCAGGCTTTCTACTCAAACACAACTGGTAGAGTAAGAGCTTATGGCGAACTGTCATCAGAATTGATTACATCAAGTGGTGTTCGTCAGGGCTGTCCACTCTCCCCATTCTTGTTCAACTTTGTCGTCGTGTACTTTTAGAGATAACACTCTCCTCATCTAAATTTCCAGGGGTTGAACTTCTACCGGGAGGTTCACTTGTTGACTTAGAATATGCTGATGACATAGTTTTATTTGGCGAAGACGCTGACAAAATGCAGTCTTCTGACCACTCTAAGCAACAATGCAAGCATGTTCGGGATGCGATTCTCTCCCTCGAAATGCAAAATGTTGCTTCAGGATTGGGTTACATCGACACCCGAACTAGTGATAGGGAGTGAAGTAATTGAGCTTGTCGATCGCTTCACTTATCTTGGAAGTCTCATCAGCCCTTGTGGTCTGGTGTGTGACGAAATCTCAGCACGGATACAGAAGGCTCGACTAGCTTTTGCCAAATTGCGTCATTTATGGCGTAGGCGAGATATCCGTCTATCAACCAAAGGACGGGTTTACTGTGCAGCAGTACGTCCCGTCCTACTTTATGGCAGTGAAACATGGCCGGTAAGAGTAGAGGATATTCGTAGGTTACTAGTATTCGATCATAGGTGTCTTCGAAACATTGCTCGTATATCATGGGACCATCGAGTAAGTAACACAGATGTTATTAAACGGGTACTAGGTAAGGATGGCAAATCAATTGATGAAGTGGTGAAACTTCATCAGTTGAGATGGCTGGGACACGTGTTAAGTATGCCCAACAACCGACTGCCTAGACGTGCGATATTCAGTGGTATAGGAGTAGGTTGGAAGAAAGCTAGGGGCGACCAGACCAAAACATGGCACAAATCCATGAAGTCACTGACAAGTGGTCTGAGTCATGTTGGTAGGTGTAGACTACCTGGTTGGGGACCGCGAGATGATAGCAACCGATGGTTAGAGACCTTGAATGACATGGCTCAAAATCGTTTGCAATGGCGCAGGTGTATCCACTCTTTGTGTTCTCCCAAATTTTGATCTCCTGATTCCCGCTTGTCTCTTTTTTTCTCTTCCCAAGTTTATTTCACTGTATTATACTCTTTAAGTAACATCTCCAAACACTAATCTTTCCGATTACTGCTTACACTCTTGCAACCTCTACCACTATGAGATTTGGATCGACAACTGCATCTCTGTGCTAATGTGGTGTGGCAACTCGAACTGATGTACGTACGTACGAAGTTCTACGTTGTTGCTGACTGACTGATTATTTATACGACGGCATAGACATTATACACAGTATTATCGAATGGATTATTGACCTCAAATGGCTGGTAGCCGGCCACTACGTGCCCAAAAAACAACCAAGGGAATCCTGATTGCTATGCTCCCTAGTGATAATCTTCCTTCTTTTAGCAGTTACGTGTTGAGTAACGGTAAATCCATATTCAAACTTGGTGTAGATGTATATTTCAACTGAAAAAAGTCATTAATATAAACTTGTTCTGAACTCCGACTGCTGCCTTGGTGTAGTGGTGGGGTGTCTTTCGTCACAGTCCAACAGAGGTATATCGATCGTGATACTTCTTTGTGTACCTACTATGCCAGGCAAATCGCTAAGGGTTAGACCGAAGTCGGTTTGTTTGAGTTCAATGGATAAAATCATAACTTATGCTGTAACTAAGGTGTAGCGAAAGTGGTGTTTCTTGAGAGCAGTCGACATCTAAGGCAACCAAACTCAGCAACCTGGCCCCTAGGCTCTGCATTGAAAATAATGATCGCCATTAATTTCTTCTTCCGATCGCTCAAGGATAAATATCATACAACAGTTCGTACAATAGGACAGTGCCTAACTGTTTTCCTAGTTGTTCCTGAAATATACTCCTTGCAGCGTCTTTCCTACGTCCAGTAAGACGCAAGCAAATACGCGTTCGTACTAGAGCATGATCTGAATCTAAGCATGTGCTCCAGAATGAGCGACAGTCTTCTATCGAGCCCCTCCATCGGTGGCTGATAGCGATGTGATCTAGTTGGGTCCAACGTTGGGACGAATTCGGGGGTCGCCATGTTAAAAGATGTTTTTCCTTATGCTTAAAGTTAGTATTTGCAAGGGACAGGCGATTATCTGAACATAGCTGCAACAGACGGTCGCCATTATCTGTTCTTTGAGCCACGACACCATAAGATCCACCTAGGTGTCTTTCCCTATCGCTTAGTTTACCTACTTGAGCATTAAAGTCACCGGCCATTATTACTACATCCGAGCGCCTAGCTTTTCGAAGAAGATCGGAAAGCTTTCTGTAAAACTCATCTTTTACATCATTTGAGCTGCAGTCAGTGGGAGAATAGGCAGAAACGACGAAGAGGCAACGACGGGTGTCCCTATCTTTTTGGATCCTTACTGTTCCGTTTAGTCGGACAGCTCACAAACGACTGTCTACTGGGATCCACTCTAAGAGAGCTAGTTCTGCTGTGGGACTCAATGCTATACCTACGCCGGCGAGGCCACGGGAAGCAAAATCAGGGATTCCAGATACACGAAGTGTGAATCGAGTCGGTCCTTTATTTTGGCATGGTGAGGTCAAGTAAATGACGCTACACGTATCCTGTATGCGCGTTTCGGAGACGCAGCACACATCGATGGCGCGGGATTCTAAAGTCCTAGCTAAGGAAGCCTGCTGTCCTATTTGGCACAGTGTTCGGACGTTAAAAGCTCCTAAGTGTAGTTTAGAGCGTGGTTTCAGGAGACCAGGAATAGCGTTCCACGTACTCGAATCGTTTGCCCTATCGGTGCGAAGTGATAAAGAGACGTGAGGAGGGTTAGTCATGGAGATAAGAGAGGTATTAGGAGGTGTAGGAAGGATTTGAATGTGACCAACTTGGTCTCGTGTTATGTTACGGGTATGAGGGCTGATGTCACTTTCCGGCTGCCCACACCGTGGAAGGGTTCTTCTGGAGGTACCTGAAAACGAAATTGGATTAGAGGCGGTCTTAGCGACCTGAGAGCGTGACCGCAGTGCCCAAAGGACAACTGCTTGAGGCCGGTCGCGCGCGGCCTTTTCGTGGAAGGTTTTTGACGCGTTAGCTCCGTTCTTCAAAGGGCCTTACCGCCGGAGACGGAAATCCGTGAGATAAGGTGAGGTGTGCATTTTTAGGGTCGACCTTTTCTAACCCCACCCCTCCTTGTGGGAAGGCAGCATCGCTGTCATGCTGGTTGTCTGAAGGAAACACCTTACTGCTGTCACACCTCTCTACAGTCAGCAGTACGACTTCGGCTTCGGACCTTAGGTTTGTTGCTTTTAGTCTTACCGCTCTTCAACCGACCTGTCTGACATGGTAGGACCTTGAGGAACGGTTGTTCCAGCCAATATAGCTCGGTTGGGTCATCACGATAGGCAAGCCCGACCACCGCGTCAAGGTAGCAGCTTCGTCGGGCGTATATATAATACTGTCATAGGAATGTAAGACTCATATTTTTGTCTTTGAAATAGCTTACCCAACTTACGTGCATCAAACACAGGTTTCAACAGGACTTTTTACAAGGGACTCTAAGATCAAAACAACAAACCTGAAGTTTAATCAATATAGTGCTCTTGGTTTCTTTTAAATGTGGAGCTTTCAAATTGTCTTAAACAAACACGTGACTGAATTACATACTTTATTTGACTGCATTGAATTATAATGTCAGATAAACCTAATAATAATGTATAGGGAAAAAACAAGGCAGCTACTAATAGGGAAGTTTCCGAATTCAAAACTACCCCTAGAGACTTGCAATCATTATTCAAACAAACCTGACAATTAAAGGTCTACTTTTTAGAGAACACAAACTCCAATTACTTGATCTGAGAAATAAGTATCTTACAGGTGAATTGACCAGATAGGGGTTCTAGCGGGTTTTCTAGACTATATCAGAAAAATATTCGTCTTATTAGAATTTAAATTTTTTTCAGAGTCCTTAAAAATACCGCTGAACAACGAAACTGGAAAAAGAATGGCAACATTAGATACTACTCCCCTCTCAACAAATGTTCCTCCTACGAAAACAAAGTTTCTTACGTAACCACGTTGAATGCAACAATGTCGATGTTAGTCTTTTGAAACATTATCTGCAGGAATCGCTTCTTCGGTGTACTTATAACGTTCATTTTAGATTTAATAGTGAGTTTTATAAACAGATCAATATAGTAACAGAATCACCGCTCAACCGACTTCAAGCTGATTGTTTTGTAGACAATTAGAAAACACTATATCTAAGCCTACAGTTGTAAGCTTATATCTACGTAAGAAATATTTGAATGGTACTTTCATAAGCTTTTACAAAAATCCCGAAACTAAGGACAACCTGAAAAAGTTTAATTAGTGCTAGAAATCGACCAATGGAGCAGGTTACATCGACAACACAATGCGAACTCTCTCAAAACCCATCTCCAAGTACTACCTGCTTGGTTGTGGAAAGGATTACTAAAATCAATCCGCAGTTTGATTATTGAACATCTCATAAACCTTGGTCACGTCACCTCACCAGAATCCTCTTTTACAGTCAGAAAAAGTGATTCAAGAGGATTACGAATTAAGAACTTATAAGGCATTGATTTTAGTCTAGTTTCTGTGTCAGTCAGTAACAACGTAGAACTTCGTACGTACGTACATCAGTTCGAGTTGCCATACCACATTAGCACAGAGATGCTGTTGTCCATTCAAATCCCGTAGTGGTAGAAGTGGTAAGAGTATAAGCAGTAATCGGAAACATTAGGGTTCGAAGATGTTATTTGAAGAGTATAATACAGTGAAATAAATTTGGAAAGAGGAAAAAGAGACAAGGAGGATTCAGGAGATTAAAATTTGGGAGAACACAAAGAGCGAGATATGTTGTGATATACCTTACCGGTATATCGCAACATAACTCGCTTTCTATAGTTTATATTTCCAGACAACCCATGACACAATACTGTTATATATTTACAGTTGCTTAATATTATTCAAGTTGACAATTATATTTTATCTGTAATCTATTTGGTCTACTACATGATTTCTCGATACTTGAAAACACGTTCGAACACTTTTTATATGATGCACTATTCTAGTTAACTATGAATACGATTCAACAGCTTCAGTAAATGATATGAAAAAAATTTCCCTTGCTGAATTATCTTCCTTTTTTTCATCACTTCATGGTTTTACTTTGTCATTCAATTTTTATTAAAAGCGAATCCCTAAACTAACCAAAGCTTACCCGTGTTAACCAGGGGATGGGGTTGGGCAAGTGTAGTTTTATGTGCATTATTGCGACCTATGGGAAAAAAACAGTAATATTAATAAATACCGAGGTTAGAAATAATATATTTACGGTACTTAAGATATTGAACTGACCTGGGACACTAACATTTTTAGCGGAATTCCGGGTGAGTAGACCACGTCGCTCATGTACAAGTAGTAATTGCATAATATCACTAGACGAAGCTGCATTGGTCCCACCAGTCGTATTTGTAATTAGATTAGTTTCCGAGGTAGCAGTATCAGCTAGCCTGTTGTGAGAAACACTAGCTGTAACAGAATTGGATAAGTTACTACCAAATCCAGAGGGCACTCTTCCAGGGGCAAGAGTCTGAGTGATAGCGTCTTCAGGAGTATGGTTCGAATGAAAATCGGATGCATTTGAAAATATATTCACTTGTGAATCCGTATTTCCAATTCCTAAACAGTATAGGAAGCAAAATTAATTCGTCATAAGTATAATAAATAAAATGCAACTTGGAGTTGCGACAAAATGAGGCACATTCAACCAGATATACTCACTCAATATTCAACTAAAAGCTATCTTAAGTTCATAAGACAAATAAATATAAAATGTGTTTTTGCTACTATATTAACCACCAAAAAGTGGTATTGAAGCAAATAACACAGTCTAATAATGAGGAACACTTGCCAGGAGTTGGGTTGAGACTTATGGTGCTGTCAGACATCCATATAGGTCTTTCTTTGATCACTTGGTTTGATCCACTTGAGTTTCCACTTAGAACGATCCGAACACTGCTTTCAGTTGGACCGAATAGAGATGAGTTTTTTTTATTTTTATCACCAGGCAAAATAGAGTTCCTACCGACGTTTTGAGAGAACGTTTGAGATTCATCAGAGGTGTCCTGATAAATGAAAAAAAGTGTTTACACAGTAACTGTTAATTTGCAGTTACAATTAATAAATATAGCTAACGGAATAGCTCCAATTAAAGAAGTATACATAACATTCCGATCAAAAGAGACTTTACTTGCTAAGACCTGATAATCATTGGAAATGACTACACAATCTAGGGTTAAAAAATTGTGTCCTTCCCAGTTGAAGTCAGTCAGTAACAACGTAAGCAGTAATCGAAAACATTAGGGTTCGAAGATGTTATTTGAAGAGTATAATACAGTGAAATAAATTTGGAAAGAGGAAAAAAGGACTTGAAGAATTCAGAAAATTAGAATTTGAAAGAACACAAAGATTGGATGCGCCTGCGCCATTGCAGACAATTTTGAGCCATGTCATTCAAGGTCTCTAACCATCGATTGCTATCGTCTCGCGGATTCCAACCAGGTAGTTTACAACTACCAACATGGGTCAGTTTACTTGTCAGTGCCTTCATGGACTTATACCAAGTCCAGGTCGAAAACCAGCCTGGTTTACTCTAGTTTGCTCTTCACGAGCTTTAATTAGGCATCGAAGTATTATTGAAGCTAATATTTTACACACTATATTTGTCAAACTGATTCCTCTGTGATTGTCACAAGAGGACTTTTGTCCTTTCTTATAAACTGGCATAATCAATGTTTGAGACCAGTCAGATGGGATTACGTCCAGTTCCCAAATTCTACCTAAGACCTCGGTTAATCTCATTGCTAATACTGGAGCACCATCCTTAAAAATCTCAGGAGTAAACCTGTCAGGGCTTGCTGCTCTCCCTCGTTTCAGATTTCCTATGGATTTTTCAACTTCGTAAAGAGACGGAGGACCTACATTAACTTGCCATTCAGGTTGACTGGGGATCGTGAGAAACCGAAGTGTGGCTGAAAGCCAGTTGAACTGATCCCTGAAGTGTACTGCCCATCGATCCAATCTCCTGGATTGGGAATGAATAATATGTCCATCTTTCTCTGAGATCGTTTCGCTAACGGTCGGGTTCCTAATTCCGGTTTCCTTAACGAGTCTGAACAATTGTCTGCTATTACCTATTGCCGCTGCCTTTTCCATCTCTCTTGCTTTCGCTAACCACCACTGTTTGCGATCATTCCGTAGACGTCTTGTCAGCTTGCGCTTAAGCTAACTCCGCTCTTCACTATGTTCAGAGCAAGATGGAATGAGTTTCCGAACATCTATAAGTGCGATAGATGCTGCTGAGATCCAGTGTCGTTCCCTAACCTTACGGGTTACCGTACTAGCAGATATCACTGCTGTTTCCACCACTTTAGGATATCATTCCATGCTGCCTCGAGGTGGGTATCACCTACATGGCTACCTAACTGTTTTCCTAGTTGTTCCTGAAATATACTCTTAGCTTGACTATCATTAAGTAGGGCCTTAAGAGGTTTTCTTGCAGCGTCTTTCCTACGTCCAGTAAGACGCAAGCAAATACGCGTTCGTACTAGAGCATGATCTGAATCTAAGCATGTGCTCCAGAATGAGCGACAGTCTTCTATCGAGCCCCTCCATCGGTGGCTGATAGCGATGTGATCTAGTTGGGTCCAACGTTGGGACGAATTCGGGGGTCGCCATGTTAAAAGATGTTTTTCCTTATGCTTAAAGTTAGTATTTGCAAGGAACAGGCGATTATCTGAACATAGCTGCAACAGACGGTCGCCATTATCTGTTCTTTGAGCCACGACACCATAAGATCCACCTAGGTGTCTTTCCCTATCGCTTAGTTTACCTACTTGAGCATTAAAGTCACCGGCCATTATTACTACATCCGAGCGCCTAGCTTTTCGAAGAAGATCGGAAAGCTTTCTGTAAAACTCATCTTTTACATCATTTGAGCTGCAGTCAGTGGGAGAATAGGCAGAAACGACGAAGAGGCAACGACGGGTGTCCCTATCTTTTTGGATCCTTACTGTTCCGTTTAGTCGGACAACTCACAAACGACTGTCTACTGGGATCCACTCTAAAAGAGCTAGTTCTGCTCTAGGACTCAATGCTATACTTACACCAGCGAGGCAACGGGAAGTAGCATCAGGGCTTCTAGATACACGAAGAGTGTATCGAGTTGGTTCTGTATATTGATATGGTGAGGTCAAATGAATAACGCTACTTGGATCCTGTATGCGCGTTTCGAAGACGCACGGCCTTTTTGTGGAAGGTTTTTAAGGTGCTAGCTTCATTCTTCTAAAGGCCTAACCGCCGGAGACAGAAATCTATGAGGTTATGTGAGGTGTGACATTTTTAGGGTCAAGAGAGCGCCAATATATATGCGCCACACAAAACAATGAGAATTCGAAGAGAAATAGAAAAAAAGCTAAGGAGCTCAAAAAAAAGAGAACAATACCGAAGAGATTGGTGTAAGGTAGTGTGGTAGTAATGAGGGAACGGAAAGGTGCAATCGGAAAAAATCTTTCAGTTGAGGGAGACACAACCACTTTTTATGAAGAAAGTAAAAGAAGGTTACAGCAGGATCGCCACTGGCTTCTATTCTGAGCCATTTCTGATAACGTCTCTAGCCACTGTGTAGCACAATCTCTCAGACCCCAACCAGGGAGTCCTGAAGGACCAGCACAAGCCAGTCCATTGCAGCTTTCTTTCATGCCACGACACCATGTCATGCACTGACCACCTTTCCGCTTTTTCCAACCAGTCCCAGAGTCGGCAAATAATGCACGACGTGGAATTGTCTGGGATGACATTCGTAGAACATGTCCAAGCCACCGAAGTCGGTGTTTCAAGATGGTGACACCAATTGAATTATCGTCTCTGTGCCCAAACACACGATGCCGAACCTCTGCATTACTAACATGATGTTGCCACTGAATGTCAGCAATCCTTCGGAGACAGCGATGACCAAACACGTAGAGTTGTCTAACATCCTCAACTCGGAGGCCAGGTTTCACAAGCATAGAGCAAAACTGCTCTCACCGACGCGTTGTAAATCCGACCTTTTACGGCCAGACTAACATCACGAAGGCACCAAAGATGGCCCAAATTGGCATAAGCCGCTCTGGCTTTCACTATACGTGCATTGATCTCATCACTCACACCCCCACCAGCACTTATGCAGCTACCCAGATACACGAACTTCTCGACTACTTCTATCTGCTCACCATCCAGAGTGAGTACAGGATTAGAATCCTGCCAGTCTTGTAGAAGTACTTTGCACTTCGAAGGTGCAAAGCACATACCATACCTACGGACACTGATTGGCAACTGATTAAGTGCGGATTGCATGCCTTAGGCATTATCGCACAGTAAGACAATATCGTCCGCATACTCAAGGTCGAGAAGTCTTTCTCCAGGCAACAGATCCACATCACTATTACTTACATCCATCAGAGCTGTTTCCAGAATGTCATCAATGGCAAAGTTGAAGAGGAATGATGAGATTGGGCGACCCTATCTAACCCCACTGCTCGAATGGAACAATGTAGAGAGGTGGTTGTATGCCCTCACTCTGCCTGTGGTGTATTTATATAGGGCTTTCAGGATGTTAATAAACTTCTCAGGCACACCCTTCTTCAATAGACAATCCCAGAGAACAGTCCTGTCCAACGAATCGAAGGCAGCCCTAATGTCAAGAAATACTACGATTGTTGGCCTCTGAAAAGTATGGCGGTTTTCTAACATTTGGAGGAGGGTGAAGATATGATCAATACATCCTCGACCAGAACGAAACCCAGACTGCAACTCGCGAGTCAATCTTTCTCGGGTTTTGAACAACCTACGGAGTATGACGGAAGCCAATAGCTTGTACGCAATCGGAAGTAGACATATCCAGCGATAGTTGTTACAGGAACGACGTGAACCCTTTTTAAAGATAGGGACAACTATCGACTCATTCCATGACGTTGGTACACCCTCTAGATCCCAAACATTTGTAAACAATATCGTCAATTCCTTTCCCGACCGTTGTTACTACCTTGACGTGGTGGTCGGGCTTGCCTATCGTGATGACCCAACCGAGCTATATTGGCTGGAACAACCGTTCCTCAAGGTCCTACCATGTCAGACAGGTCGGTTGAAGAGCGGTAAGACTAAAAGCAACAAACCTAAGGTCCGAAGCCGAAGTCGTACTGCTGACTGTAGAGAGGTGTGACAGCAGTAAGGTGTTTCCTTCAGACAACCAGCATGACAGCGATGCTGCCTTCCCACAAGGAGGGGTGGGGTTAGAAAAGGTCGACCCTAAAAATGCACACCTCACCTTATCTCACGGATTTCCGTCTCCGGCGGTAAGGCCCTTTGAAGAACGGAGCTAACGCGTCAAAAACCTTCCACGAAAAGGCCGCGCGCGACCGGCCTCAAGCAGTTGTCCCTTGGGCACTGCGGTCACGCTCTCAGGTCGCTGAGACCGCCTCTAATCCAGTTTCCTTTTCAGGTACCTCCAGAAGAACCCTTCCACGGTGTGGGCAACCGTGAAGTGATAGCCGCCCTCATACCTCTAACAGCACCCAAGACCACTGTATTCATAATCAACCTTCCTCTTCAATTCCTATTATTCCTCCTACATCGACTTTCAACCCTAAACTTCCTCCTTCGGCTTCTTCCTCAAGTGTCACCATAGCCAACGATTCTAGTGCGCAAAACTCTGTCCCAGGTCTACTGAAACCTCGCTCCAAACTACACATTGGAGCTTTCAACGTACGCACTCTATGTCAAACCGGTCAGCAGGCTTCCTTGGCTTAAACCCTAGAGTCTCTTTCCATCGATGCATGCTGAGTCTCCGAAACACGCATACAGGATTCCAGTTTGGTCATTCACTTGACCTCACCTCGGCAAAACGGAGAGCCAACGAGATACACCCTCCGTGTATCTGGTGACCCGATGGCCAGCTCTCGTGGACTGGCAGGTGTAGGCATAGCACTAAGCATGAGGGCGGAACAAGCACTGCTAGAGTGGATCCCCGTCAACAGTCGTCTATGTGCTGTTCGGCTAAACGGCTCCGTAAGAACTCGGAAGGATA